TGAGATAAGATGTAAACAATAATTTAATTTTTAAAATACTTATAAATTACTTATTTTGCCAATAATTTTGCAGAAAACATCATTATTTTGTTGTTGTTTAACAAGTATTTGTTTTATGTAAAAAGTGTCAAGAATTGTATGTCAAAGGTTAGCAAAATTCTTTACAAATTCTCTTCAGAAAAACAGTTTTCCTATCAATTGATAACAGTTTATGATTTATATGAATAGAGAGACAAATACACGAAAAAAAGTTATGTTTATGTGTTTGTGACCCGAATTCCTGTTTATTCAAAACTGGGACAGACTTTCGTTAAACCAGTGGTGGTCTTGAAGTTATGCTTACTTTTTAATTTCAATTTCTTCAATATATTGTGATTAATACGACCAAAAGCCAGCCCTCCCTCTGCCCTCCCTCTCCCCTCCCCATCACTTACAACAAGTATTTCTCAAAATTAATATTAATTTCCAAGAATTGATAAGAAAAGCAAATTTAATATTTGCCGTCACTATTATTAAATCCATTGTATTTTTAATATGATTTATAAAATTATTACAATGTTTTCTAGAATAATGGCTAATTTGATATATTTCGATTGTAAACCTTGTTTCCAATAAATAAATATTATTTCGATTAATAATTATATAACTCTTAGAAATACAACTTTTTTAATATTCATTTTCAATGTTTGCGATCAATTCAGAGACAGCTTTAACTTATTGTTAATATATTTATTTTGTTTACTTAACAAATAATTGATGCAAATATTTGTATACAAATTAAACAACAATTTTGTGAAATTGGGTTTCAATTGTTGTTTTACTTTTGTTTTGTTTTCTCTTCATTGAAGACTCTCTGCAAATATTTGTATTTTTGTATTCAAATTCACATTCAATTTGGACTTTTCTGTCCATAAATTGAAGTCAATGTGTGAAACAATTAATTAAATTCTTAAACATAAGTGTTATATATTAAGGATATGTTAACTGAAAGTCTGAAGTGAATCCCAATTTTATGCTAAATTTTTTCCTTTATATAAATATTTTTCATTTGAATATTAAATACAAATACTATAAGTATTTTCATTAAATGCTAACAAAATTAATAACGAATTGCAAGCAATTTGTGTTGAGATTAATCGCTTCAACACATCGTTTAAATGCCGTAAACTTTGACCCAAAAAATGAGAACTCATTTGAATAAATATTATTAAAAATATTTATTTTAAATGAATAAAAATTTTAACACAAATACTCTCTTGTATTGAATTCATGATATTTTTTGTTGCTTTGTTTAAATGATATCCAGATTTGCAACAAAAAAAGTCACAAAATATAAGTCACTCTCTCATCCCTTTCCTCCCATTCCTCTCACTTTGATTTGCATTTAAATTGAATGAGAAGTCAATAACTGAATGCAAAAATGCATTCAATTCAATGCAATCATCGATTTTGACACCGATTTGAGACCAGAATTAATCACAGAATTGGGTATCAAATCAATGATCGCTTTTATAAGCAATGGTTTGAAAGCCATTCAAAACTATTGCCATCTTTTGGGCAAAACTTGAGTTCAGTTTTCATTGAAAAACGTTTTTGTCTTTGAATTGCGTTTTGTTTACAATATTTTTGTCACTCATTTTGATCCCAAAGCGAAGACATATTGACCATCGATGACGACCGCCGCGCGACCGACCTTTGATCCGGCGAGGGGTGGGACCCAGAGGGGCGAGAAGAACCTAGGTGCTCTGAGCAAACAGTACTCATCCCGCGATCTGCCCTCTCATCTCAAGATGAAATATCGGTATTTGATTGCCATTTGATTGTCCATTGAATGGATCCACTCTTACCATTGAATTACGCTTTGAACAGACAGTCAGGTCAGGGAACCAGCGATGAACTGAAGGACAAAGACTTCAAACGAGAACTCGAAGAGCGAGAGAGGAATGCGGCCATCGATAGGGACAACAAGAGAGGCGTCGCTTCTAATAGTGGATCCATTTCTGGCACTTCTTCGGCCAATCGGTCGACAACCGCTTCCATCTCGTCGTCCAATAAGAAGCAAAGAGTGGAAGCGATTACAGGAGTGAACGCTAATATAGACGCCGACGAAGTGTTGGACGACTCGGAAGACAGCGATTCCGACGACTCGGAAGACGACACTCAGGAACTGTTGGCAGAACTGAATCGCATTAAGAAGGAGAGGGCTGTCGAAGACGCCAAACGCGACGCCGAACGCAAAGTGACCGAAGAGAGGATCCGAATGGAGAACATCTTAAGCGGCAATCCTTTACTCAATTCAACCAAAACTGAGTTCAAAGTGAAGCGTCGATGGGATGAAGACGTGGTCTTCAAGAACTGCGCCCGAAATGAAGTCCAATCGAAGGAAAGGCCGTTCATTAACGACACTCTGAGGTCAGAGTTTCACAAGAAGTTTATGGAGAAATACATCCAATAATTAGTTGTCTTCATTTAATTACAATATATATTCAAATTTTTCACTTAAACTTTGTATCGTTTATTACAAATACTGAATACTGTATTATTTCTGTTTCTTTTTATTTTGAATCAATTTCTTATAAATAAAGTCATTAATTATTAATTAATTGCCGCATAAGTTCTTATCAACATTGGATTAACACTCTATGCGGCATAGACTATGCCTTACCATCAAATGCTGTTAACATGGGATCCAATAGTGTTGGGATTGAATCCTTTGATGTGATAGATGTCTTAGAATGAGTGATATGTTGTTTGAATTGACCATAAAAGACATGCATTGAGTGTCAACTATCAGTCTTTAAATGTAGACATAATAATAAGACAAATGATTAGTTAATTAGTGATCATTTATTGAATCGTCTATTTTATGTTTAACTTAAGATTAAAAATAATAATCTGATTATTATTTACACAATTTGTTATATAATTTG